ACGAAATTGTAAATTCTTCAAATCACTGCACAAGTATAATTCACAATAATAATTTTCAGTAACTACGATAAAAAATCGTATACTGAAAACCGCAAACGAAAGTGCAATGGGAGTAAGAGTAAAGTCTGTGATAAAATTAATTGGCAATAGAAAATTAATAATTTTCAAATAGAAAAATTTTGAAATTACCGAGGATTTACAAATAATAAAGTAAAATTAAATAATTTATGTTTTCGAATTTTGCTCGCGGAGAGGATCTTTAAAACAAGATTTTTAGAAGAGAGGACCTTTAAAATATAAACAGGCAAAACGTTGGAAAAATTAAAGCGCGCGTTTAAACAGATAAACGCAATGAAATAAATACGCAATTGTTTTTACTTATCGCTGTAAGCTCACAAGCTTCTGACGTGCTATACACTTTTATATAATATATACAAGGTGTCCGGTAACTAACGGACCAATGATTAAGGGCGGATTCTCTGGCCAATTTGGAGACGATTTTTCCTTAGCAAAAATGTTGAGAAGTCAATAATTTTCGAGTTATAAGCGATTGAAAAAAATAGGTTTTTGAAAACTAAACGTTTTGGAGTTAAAAGTCTAACATAATTACATTCTTCAGTTAATTTCAGGTAGAGTTTACTATAATAAAATTTTAATTTAAGGCTTAGTTATAAAGATACATAATGACAAAGATTGGAAAGTTGTAAAAAATGATGACCTTTTTCGACATTTTCGCTGAGGAAAAATCGTTCCCAAATTGACCAAAGAATCCATTTGTAATCATTGGTCTGTTAGTTACCGGACACCCTGTATATTGGACACGAGTTTCGTTTGTTTCAGATTCTCGAGAGTTGAAGTAGGAACATACGAGTATCATATATCGTTTGTGACTTGCCGAATGAAAGCAAGACAGAGAGCGAACGAGATGATGAGCTTAATAGCTCATAATGTTATAAATAAATAAATAAAAAATTATAACCTGACCTACTAGTTATTGAATCTTTTTTAATAAAATGTTTCATTATTATTATCATCTAAGTCTAAGTCGTTTAATTACTTTTTAGTTTTTTAATAATTAATTTAATTTATTCTAGTCATTTTATATGAGAAAAATAATATCACGTATACGTTTTATAATGAATTAATATATTTCGGGAACCGAATTATATATTCTTAATAATATAAAAGTGTTCAAAAATTATATTTGACTTTTAATTTTAATTATTTTATAGCAAAGAGTTCCGAAATCTCTTACACACATAATGGGGATTTTTTCATCCATATAATTCGCAATTAAGTATATATGTTAATTATTAATTTTAATAAAATAAAAATTAAAATTAAAGGTCAAATATAATTTTTAAACACAAATATATTAAATTAATTATAAAACGTATACCCATGATAGTATTTTTCTCGTACAAAAATAATTAGAGTAAATTAAATTAATCATAAAAGATTAAAAATTAATTAAAGAATTTAAACTTATATTTTATATAATAATAATAAAACATTTATTACGTCAAACCGTCGTGAAATAATTAAATAAAATTTGCTAGTTACGTCAAAGTCAAGTTTTCTAAGCTTATAAAACATTTTATTAAAAAACAGATTCAATAAATATAAGTACATGTTATATATATACTTATATTTATTGAATCTGTTTTTTTTATAAAATGTTTTATTATTATCATATATAATATAAATTATTTAATTATTTTTTTATTTTTTTATGAGTAATTTAATTTGTTCTAGTTATTTTTGTACGAGAAAAATACTATCACGGGTATACGTTTTATAACGAATTAAATATATTTATGTTCAAAAATTATATTTGACCTTTAATTTTAATTTTGTATTTTATTAAAATTAATAATTAACATATATACTTAATTGCGAATTATATGGATGAACAAAATCCCTATTATGTGTGTAAGAGATTTCGGAACTCTTTGCTAAAATAATAAAATTAAAAGTCAAAATAATTTTTGAACACTTTTATATTATTAAAAATATATAATTCGACTCTCGAAATATATTAATTCATTATAAAACGTATACGTATTAGTATTTTTCACATATTAAAATGATTAGAATAAATTAAATTAATTATTAAAAACTAAAAATAATTAAACGACTTAGACTTAGATGATAATAATAATGAAACATTTATTAAAAAATAATTATTAGGTCAGGTTAATATTTTATTATTATTTATATTATATTATAACATCATAAAATTCTGTCCTTTCCGAAATACGCGAACGCTACGAAAAGATAAATCTCGTACATGCCGCCGGACGAGTTCATGAGCATGAGACGCTCATCTTGGGAACGTATTAATAGTTACTGCATTGACCACTACTACGATATGGCGCTGAAATCAGTGAGAAATGCTGGTCTCTCCTTCATCCAGACCTTTGGCGATCTGTCTATTAAGGGTCGCAGGTACATGGTCCCTGAGACCGCCTATGGCCGGCCGGGAATTAGAGATATTCATTCCAGATATTTAGCGAAAACACGAATGAATCTTAGAAATTATGATATTCTTAATAGTAGCTCAAATGCAGTCCGCCAAAGAGTTATTTATTGAAAAAAAGATGAAAATAAAATTATAATATAAATTGGGAATGCGCAGCTAGTAACGGGTAAGGTTGGTTAGCCAGGAGTCCGTATTTTATTTATTATAAAATTTTCAGAGCAAAAATGCAAATCCGACTCTTTGGCGGACTACTTTATTTATCAGAATATATTAAAAAAAAAAAACCAAAGTTATGTCACTTATTTATGAAATATCTGGACGATAAGATTCTCACTAAATTCATAAGGAGCAGGAAATTTCGTGGTAACATACTGACAGCTAACAGCTGACAAGGAGAGACTATCATTCTGTCCTTGTCTCTCTTACATCGCATATGTAGTAACATCCATGTAGACACAAACACTAATGCGTTGAACGAATGCGAGATTATTGGGAGATATCAGCAAGAACCGATTTTCGTATATCATTGTTTCTCTGTATATGTATATTATATGTAAAAGAACAATAAGAATAGCATAATTCTTGCCTAACATTATCTTCCATTATCGTTTCGTGTACGCAATATATATTACATTATGCATCTGTAACAAATAATCGAATGATTTATTTAAATATTTGCATAATCTATTAAATCTAATAATAAAAAAAATGTGTAATAAATTATCGAATGATTTATTTAAATATTTGCATATAATCTATGTAAATAAATATGTACAAATAAAATAATATTATGCAAATATTATTTTATTGTGTACATATTTTATTTATATACCCAAACAACACAAGTCCAAAATTGGCGCGTAAGATATCTTTATAAGATGTCTTTTGATATCATATCATAAGATAGCTGTCTTAAGATTTCTTAATGCTATCTTATGCGTCAATTTTAGACTTGGTGCTGTCTGGGTAGATAATATGCAAATTAATATGTTTATATATATGCACACACATAGATATGACAATAGCGTTATCGTGATTTTTCGATTATAAAGTTGTATTGTATAATCTCTCTCTTATCTCTTTCTCTCTGCTACATACCCATACAGCACAGAAACTTTTCAGAAATATTTCAAAATATTTCATGTGACAGATTGAAACATTTCATAAATATTGCGAAATGTTTCTGCAACAACTTTGAGACAACTCTGAAATAGCAAAATGTCCGCGATTCTTGCACTTGAAACCTTATAGAAACCTTATTGAACCTTATAAAAAGTTTGCTGAAAGGTTACTAATAAATCTGCAACTTTTCTGAAATATTCTAAAAGGTTACTGAAATGATTGAACCGTTTCTGAAATATTGCTGAAAACTATTTTAAATAATTCTGAAAATTTTTATAATATTGCAAACATGGCTGCTTTCGCGACAAAATTAAAATATGATCAGATTAAAATGATCCTGCACTGGGATTGTTCAAATCTAAATTTCATTGAATACAATTTCAATGAGATTCCATGAAATTTCAGATTTCACTAATCACAGTGCAGAATCATTTTAATCTGAATTATATTATTTTGATTTTGTCGCAAAAGCAGCCCATATTAAAAACTGTTATTCAAATAAAAAATATATATTTCAGAAATAATATTTAAATTATTATATTTATTGCACACAAATATACGACAAAATTTACACTAAAAAGAGTATAAAAAATATATCTAACGTTGTACATTTTTTTAGCTCAGTGTTGCAATTTTTTGTCAATGATTCTCACTAAAAGGTCGAATGTTAGATCTCTAGGATATATATAAATTCTACTTATAATAATATGGTTTTTAGCTTTAGGATATAGAAGAAACATATTTATAATTTTATTAAATTTTTATTTGAGTAGTATATTGTTTTAATAGTTGAATCGTTACATAAAATAAAATAGTTATCACATAAAATAAAAACTTTTTTACAATAAAGTAAAAATTTGAATTCCATTTGGATAACATTGTTTATTGTTATTCTAATAACATAATTAAAAACTTCCAACAATTTTTGAATAAATTTTAAGTGAACTGCTAAACTCTAATTATATTTATTTGATAATTTTAACTTTCTTCTAAAAAAAATAAATTTTCAAACAAAATTCTCAAACATAAAATAAACTTTTTCTAATAAAAAAATAGTATTTTACTATAATATAAATCAAACATTATGCAAAATAACATTTGAATTTTGTTTGAATAATATATTATTTGTTCAGGTAATACAATATAAATTTTTAGAACACAAAGTAACTTCTTTTTAAATTAAAAAGCAAAGTTAAAAGCGAAACATTTATTCCGATGGCTGTTCTTTTTGTTTTCGTTGTAATCGTTCTCTGAATAAATACAACGATTAATAAGTACTGTAATATTATTATATACATTTATAAATAATCTCACTTTTCATTAATAATATTTACTTACTCATCTCTGTCATGACGTAATTTGCCCTGGATGAACCATTTAGAGATGACTTCGATAATTGTTTGTCATCCGTTTCGAATTTGCATGAACACATTCTAGATAAACAAGGAAATTTATTTTATTAATATAGAGATTACCTTTTGTTCAAATTATATTATTGAAAATATTGCGTGCTTACATATAAAATAATTATTTAATTATATGATACAATATAATGAAATAATTATTTTATTTATTTTGAAAAACGAGAAATTAGTAGTTTAAATATTAACATACTTTTTATGCATTTAGTTAACAATAAATCTTTGAAAGGCTCTTTCTTCATACTTTTTCCATTCCAGCAATATAACGTTGAAAGATGATTACTAATAAAATTTTTGAGAATAACAATTATCATGTCATGAGACGTTTTATGTAATATATAGAGTATATAAAGGAAATTATTAAAAATCTGTACTTACACATGTAACCTCAAAATTCAAGAACAAACAAAAATTAAAATTAGACAAATTCATCATATGTAAAATGAAAATAGTTTAAATAATGAAAATATACAGAGTAAAATTATGTAGAAAAGCATGCACCGGTTAAAAGTATCCAAAAATATACATGTTAAAATGCAGTTATAACCTCTTTTTTCGGTACTTTGAAACATTAATCATGAAAATAATACCTTGAAAGTTTTATGTCTGATTTCGAATTCTATCAAATAAGTAGATATTATTCCTTTATAAAACTTTACTATTATTAGAACCAGTAGACAGTAGTGCTATCATAGCAGTCCAAGTCTATGCGGTTTAGCAAGCTGTTCTTGTCGTTGCCTGCATTCCACATCCGGAACCTAAAAAGCGGGAAAGAATTGATTGGTTGTTCCTATATATAATATATACATTAATATACATTTAATCTGTCCAATAAAAGATATGAAAATAATTTTTATAATACATACCGTCGACTATTTTGATTGATTTGTTATATAATATATATATGTATATACACTTATAATCACTATATTAAAAAATCGTTCCAGTTTTCAAAATTATTTCATATGAAAACTTTTTGCAACACTCATATTAATTTTCAAATTTACCACATGTAATAGATTTCAGAAACATTTCTGTTGCAACATTTCATATGACATATTGCAGAATTCTGTCAGAAATGTTGCACATGAAATGTGAAACATTGAAATGATTTTGAAATATTTCTGAAAGCTTTCTGTAACAATCGGTGCTATATGGGTAAATACTATTATAATGTAAAAGAACTTACGAGTAACGTATGATGGCTCAATGCAATAATATTCAATCACGTAAAAAACTTGAGTTCAAATATATCAATATCAATTTTTTTACAATATATTAGAATATAGAAAAAATTATAGAAATATAAGGCGATAAACTTGAAAATTTTTAAATATTGAAAATATTTAATCATTTTACAATTACATACACTATATATATATATATATATATATATATATATATATATATATATATAAATGCAAAATAAGTCCGTAAATAAATTATCAAGTAATAAATCCGTTGCATGCTCGCAGCTACATATGCACACACAAATAGCTGGTATGTTGATTTTATTAAAAATTTATTTTCTGTATTATTTTGCATTTATATAGTGTGTATGTGGGTGTGTGTGTGTGTGTGTGTGTGTGTGTGTGTGCGCGCGCGCGCGCGCGTGTAGTAAAATATTTTCAATAATTTATAAAATTTTTATTGCTGAAATATATTTTTTTATCATTTCTCTGTATTCCAATATATTATAAAAAAATTGATATTGATATATTTGAACTCTAATAATTTACTGGGTGATACATACTGAACATCCTTTGCATTGATCAATATTACTCGACATAAGTTCTTTTATGTTATAAGTATTTATGGAGCAAATTATACAATAACATCAATAATAGAAAGAAATCAAGAATAACCAACGCATATTCGTCAATCTATGATTGCTATACAAGCTATAATAATTTATATTCGTTCTCTTATTCTTGTCTCTCGAAAAAGTATAAGCAATAAATTATCAAACCTAACAAGTACCCGTGTCTAACATTGTAGACTAATTTACTTTCAATTATGCTACTGTTATTATTTATCATTAGACAATTATAAAACATATATATATATAGCACTACAAATTATATATGTATATGTTTTATAATTTATTTTATATTTTATTATTTGACAAGTTAAATCTCTCCGAATCATAATTTGCGCTTACATCTTAAAGACGAAATGCTGTAACTCTCTGATATTCCAATCTGTATTTTTGAAAAGGACCACATCCCGTATGGTCGAAATGTTAAAATAAAATATATATACAACTTTAATTTGAGGCCAGTGTAGTCAGACCAAATCTATAACCTCTGTTTATAATTGTCTAATGATAAATAATAACAGTAGCATATATAATTGAGAGTAAATTAGTATATTTTATATATATATATATTTATATATAAATAATATATCCACATATGTGCATAAGCATATATAAAATTTACAAAAATGGGTGCTTATTAGTCTTGCTACGTTACTGCTTTCTGCTACGGAAGGCCAGAAAGCATTTTTAGGCGGCATCTCACGTATACCGGCACGGTAGAGGAACAAGGAGAACACGTGATTATCGGTCCTTGTCTCTCTTACGTGCGTCCGCGTGAGCGATGCAGTGGTGTATGTACGTGTACAGACATACACCACTACATAAAACCCGAGAATTGATTTCTCGGCGTTGGCAACACTGAAACCGGAGTTTCGCGTTGTCACCGCACGAGGTCTCCAATATCAATTCGGAGTTTGCCTGGGTGTACTGCCGACCCTTAAGGGTCGACAGGTCGGCCGGCCAAAATCCGAATTGATGTTGGAGACCTCGCGCGTGACAACGCGGAAACTCCGTTTCAGTGTTGCCAACGCCGAGAAACCAATTCTGGGGTTTATTTAGTGGTGCATGTCTGTACACGTACATACACTATTGCATTGCTCACGCGGGACGCACCGTAGAGAGACAAGGACCGATAATGACTGGTCTCTTGTTCCTTATCGTGCGGTATTCGCGAGATGCGCCTGAAAAGGCTTTCTGGCCTTCCGTAGCAGAAGGCAGTAGCTCGCAAGGCTACTCAGTCCCTACTTTTACCTTTCTCATGCCTGCCCATATGTGCGTAATATATATAGATATATATATATATATATATAGATTGTAGTATATAAATATATATATATTATATATATATATATACTATATATATAGATATAATATATATGTATATAATATATAATATATATATATAGATATATATATAATATATTATATAAGGGATATTTGATTATTCTGATTTCTTTTGATTATTGATGCTATTGTATAATTTGCTCCAAATACTTATAACGTGAAAGAACGTTGAGTAATGTATAATCAATGCAAGGATGTTCAGTATATCATCCAGTAAATTAGAGTTCAAAATATTCAATATCAATTTTTTTATAATATATATATATATATATATAATATATATATATATATAAATATAGAAATGATAAAAAAAATATATTTCGGCGATTTAAAAATTTTTTTAATATATGAAAATATTTTTACTACATTACACTATATATATAAGTGTAAAATAATTCAGAAATAAATTTAAAAATAATTTAAAAAAATCTACATACCAGCTGTGTGCATGTGTGCAATTGATATACTGAAATTTTTTACGGAAATTTATTTGCATTTATATATTATAGTGTGTGTAGTTGTAAATTGTAAAATATGATTAAAATATTTTCAATATCAAATTTTTAAGTTATCGCCTATATACAAATATATTTCTATGATTTTTCATATTCCAATATATTATAAAAATTGAATTGATATATTTGAACTCAAGTTTTTTACGTGATTAAATATCTTGCATTGAGCCATCATACGTTACTCGTAAGTTCTTCACGCATAAGTTATTATGTAGCAGAGAGAAGAAATGAGAGTTATACAATGTTAACATCAATAATCGGAAAAAAATTCAAGATAAACGGTGTCATACTGTGTATAATCTATATATATATATATATATATATATATATATATATATGTATGTATATATATAAACATATTTTATTATATATATATATAATATTTCATTTTTTATAAAATACATTTTCAATTCATATTCACCTGAATGATATTTTCTATATGCTTATGCTATCCTCCGATCTATCCCTAACAAATTAGGAAGTGTAATTGCATTATTATCATCAATTATTATCTTATACTTTTTACCTCTAATTTCTATAAAATTTAATTCATTATCACATTTTACTTTAAATCAATATTTATTTTGAATTTTCATTAATATTTTTATTCTATTAACATGAGCAGGAGCTCAACCTATTGAAATACCTTTTATCATTATTAGACAAATTTTATCATTATGTTACTTTCTTATTTTATCTTATTACCTTTCCTAATAAAAATTTGAGATTTAATTATTTTAAATAAATATTAAAAAATTTATCATTATAAATAAATTTAAAATATTAAAAATAATTATATTTAATACTTAAATTTTTATAAATTACTATTAAATTAAGTAATGATCTTGAATTTAAGTATGTTTTGAAAACATATTAAAGAAATTTTAATTTTTATTAACTTTTAAACATTTAATTTTTTTTACTAAATTATTATTTATAATATAAATTTAAATCAAAAATTAATAAAATATAAACTAAAATTATTGGTAAAATAATTTTCCAACATAAATATATTAATTATCATATCGTATTCGAGGAAGTATTCCATGTATAAAAATTACTATTCTACAAAAATATAATTAAAATAAAAGTTAAAATTATTGAATATTTTAATAAATTCTAAATATATAAATTCTAATAAAAAAAATAATTATTCGATATTCAGATAAAAAAATTAATGTAAACGCACCCCTAAAATATTCAATATTAAACCCTGAAACTAATTCTGACTCACCTTCGATAAAATCTATAGGACTTCGATTTAATTCAGCTAAAATCCTAATAAAAAATATAATAAACAAAGGATATAAAACTACTATTATCATAAATAAAATTGATAATTAATAAAATCAAAAAAGAATATCTTCTCTTATTAATATAATAACTAAAACAATTAAAATAAATCTTACTTAAATGATAATATTTGTGAAACTGATCGTATTGCCCCTATTTTGAATAAATCGAATTAGCTGATCATCCCATAAAAATTATAACATACCCTCTAATAGTTATAAAACAATTATTAATAAAATAGAATAATTAAAAAATAAATATTAGTAATGTAAGGAAATACTAATCATATTATTATTAAAACAAATCTAATTATAGGACATAAAAAAAATTATAATTAGATTTATACATAAAATAATTCTTTATTAAGTAATTTAATAGCATCACTAAAAGATTGAAATAATCTTATAAATCCCACCTTATTAGGTTCTTTACGAATTTGTACATATCTTAAAATTTTTGTTCCAATAAAGTTAAAAAAGCTACCCCAACTAATATAATTAATAACAAAATTAACAATCTTAATATATTTAACGCACTATAAAAATATAATCTTAAATTTGACAAATTATTACTTGTATAATTTTTCTATTATACATCATTTAAATTCTAAATTTAATACACTTAAATTCTGCCAAAGTAATTTTATTTATTTACATATATTTAATCAATTAAATTTATTCATTAAAAAAAATATAATTTGAAAAAAAGTCCTTTCGTACAAAATTTTCTTAATTTTTTATTATAGATAGAAACCGATCTGGCTTACACCGATCTGAACTCAATCATGTAAAA